TTTTTTTTTTTGTACCCCTTTGTCACTCTTCATAGACCTGCAAGGTGCTTTCACCATTTTGTCGTACAAATATATAAACAAGCTTTGTATTAGCGAAATTTTGTGGATGTTCAACTCTGTGTGTGTGTGTGTGTGTTTGTGTTACGATGGATTAAAAGTGGATTTAAAAAAACGACAAACAAAAAAAATCCTACAAGGTAGAGTTTACAAATCAACAAGTCGAGAAAAAAGTAGTATTTTTGTAATTTTAGTGCTTCCTTGATTTCATCTATGCACTCAAACAAGGTAGTGCTTCTTTGGTCTGGCCTTTGCCCTCCTCTGGTGTGGAAGGGGCTTTTGCTGCTGGCTGTCAGACACAAACGAGTCCAAACTCGCCTGTACTACCTTAAAGCTGAAGTGTGTCATTTTTTTGATGTTAAAATACTCCTATCCAAGCTAAAAACTGTTCAAGTAAACACAGATGTATCAAAACATTGATCTGTTTGTTTGAGCAGCCTGACGCAGCCAATGGCTTGAGTTTAGGGGCGGGGCTTTGTCTTTGGCTGACCAATTGACCCTTTGCAGGGAGTTTGATTGACAGCCGATCTGACCAATCATAATGTAATTTTTGTCCGAAGCAAACCAGAGTACATTAACGTTGGTGGACTTGAACTTGAAAAATGGTGTGTATTGACATCTTTCCGCGGTTGATGCGAGATACCTTCCGATGTTCATTCATGTTTATTTCATGCTATAACTAGTAAAGAAGACGAGATGATCGGCTCACGTGCCGCTTGAACTGAGGCACTACAGCGATCTGCAACGACGCGTTAAAGTGCAACAAAATGGTATTTATTGTTTGAATTTCTTAAAAATGACCTAATTTTAAAGCGGAGTAAGTAACCTGCTGTGTCTCTGCCGTGATGTATTTTTCTCTGCGTGAGAACATGATGAGCGGCATGGCTTGTCGGACATAGCAACAGTAATGTGCGAAGGGTCAATTGGAAACCTGTTTGAAAACAGACATTGTGTTTGGCACAGAAATACACACTTCATCTTGACCTCGCCAGTTTCTGTTACCGTTTTACTTGTCAGAACGCGACCCGACCTGGATTAGAATCCCAATCTGAGGGAAACGTATTTCTAGAATGTATCCATCAGAAATGC